AAACTCCACGTTAGCTGTTCGCCATTAAGGGCAGAGTTACCACCTATGTTAGAGACGCTACTTTCTCCACTGAAACTCCACGTTAGCTGTTCGCCATTAAGGGCAGAGTTACCACCTATGTTAGAGACGCTACTTTCTCCACTGAAACTCCACGTTAGCTGTTCGCCATTAAGGGCAGAGTTACCACCTATGTTAGAGACGCTACTTCCTCCACTGAAACTCCACGTTAGCTGTTCGCCATTAAGGGCAGAGTTACCACCTATGTTAGAGACGCTACTTTTCACATGGACCCCAGATAAATATTAGCTTGTATCTACATACTCTGTCATATTGATCCAGGGTTTCTGCTTGACAATTACATAAATTGATATAAAAACGTAATATTTATGTTAAGAAAAATATACAACCGAGAAAGTCATTGGGGGTCCATGTGGACCCCAGGTGTGCTGATGAGGGTTGAAATATTATCATGAGTAAAATAATATTATATAAATTACATTTTATGATAACTATGTTGTTTTTTTTAGAAATTAAACAGTACATGGGGTCTTAAAGTTTTATAGTATATGTTTGAAACCATGCTAATAGTTAGGTGATGTAGGATTTTGTATTTAAAAAATCATAACTAATTTGTAATTAATTAATTGATACACAGGATGGTCTAAAAAATTATCCAATGAAGAGTTACCACATCCTCCTAATCATGGTTAGTTGAGGGGACAAATATGTTATGATTGCATGTTCAATTCAGGAATCTTGTTACTAGTTGGTAGCACAGTTGTACCTGTTGACATCATTAGTAGTGAAAACTGTCAACACGATTCAATCTTACATCTCACTCAGAAATTGGTCAGTTGAGCTTTTCTTTCTAAAAACTAATCTTAATTCTCAAACGTATTTTAGGGGTCTGTGAGAATTTATTTAGTAAAAGTACCATTAAAACAGTAATCAAAAGTTTGTTGTTGGGCTTTAAATGATTAGTTTGAACTCAGTAGCACGTTTATTGTTATTCAAGGTTGAAAACAGGTAGTAGTGATGAATATAGGTTAAGCATCCTAGCGGTTAGTGTAAATTTTTTAAGGATGTATCATATGATCCTGTGAAGTCAAAACAGATCTGAAACAAAGAATGTTGTTAATCATTAAAATTACATGCTGTAATAATAATAATAATGGTAAAAAGTATCATTAAGTGCAAGTATACATGGCTCAGTTACTGTATGTATGTTCAGAAAATATTGCATGGCTAGACCCTAAACTTAGAGGCAAATACAGTGTTTCATTACCTCTAATTTTGATTTTCTTACACAACATTATGTAATATTTATTTTTTAAGTCATACAACTTTTTTAATTTAAAACTGTTAGTTGTGATGAAATGAGTCTTAATTTCATAGTCACTAGTTGATTTCCAAAAAATGTTACTCATAAATAATTGATTGGATAAATATGTTTGGAATCCTTTAATCTGTATAAGATCTTGGAGCATGACCAAGTTCTGCATAATTAAGGTATAGCAATGCATTTCATTAAGTCAGAATTGTGTATGCAAGCATTGTATATATCACTGCAGCATTTTGAAAGAAAAGAGTTGGTAAATAGTTGATGTTCTTCAATTTACTAACAAACAGTTTAAGAGGATAACAATGTTTTCTATAGAAATATGTATATTATTTATACAATATTATAAAAACTGGTGTTTGATCCTTTCGTGACCGAGGAACTTTGAGAAATAAAACTGCTAACCTTTAACTAATAAAATCAACTTGTGGTGTGATAGTTTTTTTAACCTGAAGAAATAAAAATGGCTTGCAAGTAGTTTATAATTTCTCCACTAGATGGTAGGACAGTACCTGAGGTTTAGGTTTACCGCCATTTATTGAATTGACCCATGTCCTTTTTAACTTTCATTCAAACAAACAAATTCCCTGATTGAAGAATTCTTTTTTTTATTTAGGGAGGTATAATGTTTGTGGCAATCAAAGGAGCTTTCAAGATCTACCTGAAACAGCAACAATACATAAGAAAATGCAAACGAAGAATATTAAATTTCAGTCAAGAGGTAGAAGACGTTTCCAATCAGCATCAACCAGATTCGTAAATTAGTGTAACTGAAAGATGCATAATTTTTATATTCCTGGAGAGTTGAAATTTTCTTTTAGTTATGTAATGTATTGTATATAACTGTGTGGTTGATCAGGTGGATTGATAGTGATGACGACCAGATGTGAACTAAAAATAACTAGAGAAAAATGATATACATTAAAATTAACTTGAAGCTAAATATTTTGGAATTGCTGCTTTTACTCTAAGTGTTTTAATGGTAATTACAGGAACATTATTTTTTGTTTACTTGCTTCATAATATTATCTTACTTATACGTATATTCAGCAAAACAAAACTGTCAATGTTTATATATATATTATGTGAACTTGAGTAGACAACATTTTTGTTAGAAGTTATAAAAATTTTCCCAGAAGTCTAGAGTGGTAATTCATTTCTAATGCGTGTAAAAAATTTCTGTTTTTAAACTTCGTTTCGGAGCTTCTAATATTATTTTCTGCTATAATCCTTAAATATAAAAAGAAAAACAGTATGATCTAGGTAAGTTAAAGAAAAAAGCTATTTGTCTGAAATTTCTTTCTTGACAATGTGAAATAGGTTTACATGCACATATTCCTAAAAATAAACAAGTTTTGGAAAAAATAGTGTTGTTGTTAATTTTAGCATTCTTAGAAAAACACAAGTGTTTAAACTTCCAGATAACCAATAGGAAAATATAAGGACAGTATTAAAAGAGACACTGCTTTCCATGAAATATTTAAAATTCATGTATACCAGAAGATAAACAGGGTAAGATATAGAATACTGATGAATCACTGCCTTCAAGGAAGTTAATTACACTTTAAGTAAATAATTTATATATTCAATACAATAGCGTGCTGTTAGAGATACAAGCAATGGTACCACAAGCCATATGATTCATGGTCAGTGATTTGACAGTGTAATTTCACCACTGGTAGACATGAGTGTAGGATGTGTCACTGCCCTATCAAGGAGGATATATGTACAGCAAGATATTTAAATATTGTACAACAACAAAAAAATTTTTTTTTTTTGAAGAGAGCCTTTGGTGTACTCTGTGAAGAAGAAAAACTAATACAGCAATGAGATTAAAAATCTCAACGAATCAGTTCTCAGCAATGCCCTCATCTATCAAGTAAAGGCTATGGTTACAAATTAGAACCTCCAATCCTCAACGTCATTGCAATAAAGCTGGAGCCCCCCCAATGGCACAGCGGCATGTCTGCAGATTTACAACGCTAGAATCCAGGTTTCGATACCCGTGGTGGGCAGAGCGCAGATTGACCATTGTGTAGCTTTGTGCTTAACTACAAACAAACAAGAAACAAGAGCACATGGTGACAAGTAATTTTAACTGTTTATTCAATGTGTACGAAAACAAATATATCTTATTCTAATTCCTAGAACATAGAATCTATTCTAAATAATTAAGGAACAAGGCTGAGATATTGCTCAAGGTAAGTCCATTTTCCTATACGCAATACATACTCTAAATAATTAATATTAAGGAACAAGGTTAGTGGTGCTCAGTATAAATCAACGTTTACAGTTGTTGGACAAAACAGAAACACCCAGAAGAAGAGACATAATAACGTGTGGTTCCAGCTATGGCTGTTAGAACTAATTCATGTGGAGGTCACAACTTGACATAAAGCTTGACAGTTTCATTCATACATGATGATCTTATATTGCTTTTGAATTTCACACAAAGCTACACGAGGGTTATCTGCGTTAGCCGTCCCTAATTTAGCAGTGACAGACTAGAGGGAAGGCAGCTAGTCCACATCCCCCACTGCAAACTCTTTGGCTACTCTTTTTACCAACGAATAGCCCATTGTGTAGCTTTGTGCTTAATTACAAACAATAAAGCTGG